CTCAACAGCTAAGTGACATTTTTTGTGACACTAACATGATGGTTACCTGACAGTGAAGCTACAGTTACATGACAGTTATCCAACCCCACGTATGTGTCAATAAAGTGACAATGACATGAGCTACATGACAGTTAAGCGGCACCAACACAACAGTTAATTAAACAGTGACATGTGTTACGTGACAGCTAAGTGACAGTTATCCAACACTTAAGTGACAGTTCCTGACAGTTCCTGACAGTTCCTGACAGTTACATGACAGTTACATGACAGTTACATGACAGTTACATGACAGTTACATGACAGTTACATGACAGTACCCAACAGCTGAGTGACAGCAGTCACAGGTATCCAAAAGTTCAGTGACAGGTATCTGAACACTTGAGCGACTGCTACCAAACACTGACATGACAGTTACATGACAGCAGCCAGTGCTCAAAACGTAGGTGACAGTGCCATGACAGTACCCAACAGCAGAGTCACACGTATCCAGCACTTAAGTGACAGTTACATGTCAGTATCAAACCACTAAGTAACAGCTACAGAATATTTCAGTGACAGTTACATGTCAGTAACCAACAAATGAGTGACAGCAGAGTCACAGGCAGTAAACATTTAAGTGACAGGGACCTGACATGACAGGACCTGACAGCTGAGTGACAGCTACCCAACACTTAGATGACAGCTACATGACAGCATCCAACCGTCATGTGACAGCATAATCACAGGTATCCAACGCTGACGTGACAGTGGCCTTCCTGATACATGACAGCTGCATGAGGTCGATAACAGCTGAGTGACATTGACCCAACAACCAGTGACCCAACCGGAGAATAGGTGTCCTGACAGCTGCCCGACACATGGCGGTTACCTGACGTTTAAATGACACCAGACAGGCACCTTCAGACATTTAAGAACCCGTGTTCTGCACATGTTCATAACTTCACTGTTTGGGGTCTAGCGGTCCACGTTCACCTGCTCTAATGATTGTTTATGTCGTACTGTCTCTTTAAGAGCAGCCCGGTCTGCTCTCCTGACTAAAGCCTGACCACCACAGACTCTGAGGCTGCCGACGAAACAAGCAAACCCGCTGAAATAACAGCGTTTACAACAACAGTCCTTAAAGCCTGTGTTCAGGTTCAGCTGCTGTGGCTCTGAGTCAGATGTGATGAAGCAGCGCTGAGGAGGAAACCAGGCTGATGAAGGAGGTCACGGCTCGGCGGTAACGAGCTGCTGTGTTCGTTATCCCGCCTCAGTCGCCAGCGCTCTGTCCTGATTCTCTTCATCTGCAGCCGAGCTACCATCGTGGTGGTGGTGAGGAGGAGGAGGACGGTCCAACAAACCACCAACAGACACAATCTGGCTGTCGGGGCAGAAGAATGATCATCCATTCATCAGTTTGAGTCACGTCATTAACTAGAAACTGTCTGAATTCTGTAATCAGAGCTTCTACATCCGAAATAAAACCCAGTCTGTGTCAGACGGGTTGCTAGGAGACATCCAGCTGATGGTTTCTGTAGTTTGTTTGTTGAGAGCAATAAATGAACTCCAGCTGCAATAACTCGTTATTTCTGAATCATTAATCACCAACTATTTAAACAAATGATTCATCGGCGTGAGCATTTGTTAAGATATAAAAACAACCTGAATTGTGTGATTTCAGCTTCTTACATGTGAAAACTTTGTTTGTTTCTGACAACAAACTGAACATCTCTGAGTCGTGGATGAAGTGAAGAACGGAGGATATGTTGGAACCAGAAGAACTTGTAGTTTTTAACAGCATCTTGCACATGTTGGTTTAAAACGAGACGTGCAGAATAAAAACATGCTTTTGATGAATCATCCTGTAAATCGGACAATTCGTTCAGGTTCTGGCCGATAAATGGCGTCGTTCTGGTGTTTTTTAGGGTTCCAGAAGTCGAAGAAACGAAGCCGAGGATGTAATTTATACGTAGAACCTAAAGCGTCCTGATGGAACGTTTCTCACGTGATCTGTGACCTTCAGAACAGAAACCGGCCGTGGACACACGTGTCCGATAAGAACGGACCGGCTCAAAGTCCAAAGGTGAGTTTGACTCGTGCAGAACCAACGTGGCGTCTTTTCTTATTGAGCCGAGCTGGAGGACAAAGGTCCAGCCGGTCGCTGCCGGTTGTTCCCCAGCAGGAACCTCAGCGCTCCATTAATGATGAAACCTGGTTTCAACCTTTAAACCGACGAAGCTGTTCAACGGAAACAGAGAGGGACTGAAGCGAAGCTGCTCGGTCACAGAACTCTGGATCTGCACCAGAACCTGCACATTATTATTATTATTATTATTATTATTATTATTATTATTATTTAGTTATTTATAAAAACACACACAAGCTGCAGTTTACTCTGACTCAGTCCCAAATACGTGGATTCATCCGCCACAGAAAATAGTCCCCATGAGGAAACGCAGGAAGCTTCGATTTATCTAAAAAATATTTGATCTGCGGGATAAAGTACGATTTGCAGAAAAAAAATCTAATTATTTTGATGCAAATGTTATTTTTAATTATTTATTTTTTGTTCATTTTGACTTTTTTCCTGTGATTTTATTAAATGTTTTCTGTAAATTAACAATTAAAAAAAAATAAAAAATCCCCCGTTAGAAGTTTTACAAAACGTCGTTAATAAAAATCATTTATGTTTTAAATATCTGCAAAATAGTTATAATTTTAGATGATTTAAATACAGTAAAAATAAAAACAAACAAACAAACAAACAAAACGTATTTTAGTGGATCGTATCTGGAATTAAACAAAAAAAAAATCTGGAACTCAAGTTTTGTTTTGTTTTTAAAGTTTATAACTTAAAGTTTTAAAATATATTTATAGTAGGATAATATAATATAAATACAAAAATAAATAAATAAATATTGTATAAAATATGAAGCTACGTACATTTATTTTACCAAACTCACCATTTAACATGTTTATATGTTAACTAGCCATAAATCAGTGATTTGATCTAAAACCTGTTTAAACTGTGGAGCTGCAAAAAGCCCAGATAGAAAAATATCATAAACATGAGTATTTGCTCAGACGTTTAATAAATCCACTAAATATTTCTCATAACGTGACACATGATTAAAAATATGATTAATAATTAATAAAATAAATGAAAAATACTTCAGAAGTTGCACCGATTAAAAAACAAACTCATAAAACTGTTGAGGATGGATTTAATGTCCAGTTACTCATAAATACATAAACACGAGATAAGATAAAGTTTATTACTTTCACAGCTCTGACCGGCCGCAGACAGACGGAAATAAAACTAAAACACACGACCAGACAGGATAAACATAAAACGGCTCGATACAGGGATCTCTGCCTCCATGGCTTTATCCTTACAAACAAAGCGACCACGAGGAGCTTTGAGTCGATTGTTCTCTCAAACCGCTGCAGGACCGAAGCTTCACCGTCTGCAGCTCAACATCCCATAAATCAGAGTTCACAGCTTTCAGAGACGCTTCAGTTTGCTGACGAGTTTCAGAGTCAACGGCTGAAATCAGCAGCAAAAATTCTGACGATCGCTGCTCTCAGCATTACTCCTGACTGAAGGACTCAGAGCAGCCGGGAAACAGGCAGGAGACAGCCAGA